GTTGTACATTTGCTGTCATGTTAAAGTTATATTAAAGTTTTTCTTCATTACCCATTTAAGCCGTCTCCAGCCATTATACTTATACCATATTCTGTTAATATATGTAGGACACCTAGGCATAATAGCATAAGCAACTTCAGTTAAAGAACTAGGTAAATTTAGTTGTGTTTTAATAGAAGTTGTTTTTCCAGATGAGAAACATTTTGTGAGTGAGGTCTATGAGGAGAAAATTGAAATTCCAAAACATACTTATCTCCCCTCACACTTACAGCTATTGCTCAACTTCCAAGGTTTCTTCCTTTGCCCATCTAAGCATTGCTGTGATTTTTTCTTGCTTGCTCCAGTCTTTTATTCCACACTTAATTGCCGTTGGTGATATTTATCTCTTGACACTCTCCTCCTACGTCAATGGATCTTCTATCCTGGTACTGTATATAAGCACCTCATTCAGATAATGTTATAAATTTTTCTCGACAAAATGTTCAGGAATGGGTTTGTCTGTACTGTGACTGTTAGAGACACTCTCCTCCTACGTCAATGGATCTTCTATCCTGGTACTGTATATAAGCACCTCATTCAGATAATGTTATAAATTTTTCTCGACAAAATGTTCAGGAATGGGTTTGTCTGTACTGTGACTGTTAGAGACACTTGGAACAATTTTCGCATCACCAAGCTGATTTTTGTAATAAAAATAATTTTTTTGTTCCAACATGCTTGATATATTGCATGAATTCCTGGTTACTGTTTCCAGCACGGAGACTAATCAGACCTCCCCTATCCCACCTCTGATATCTAGCATCGCTCAACAGTCAGGGGGGAGGGGGATCCCTCTCAGTTGATGATGTCTGTGATCTGATTCATAGTGAGATGGAAGCATATGTTTGGTCCAGGGGGTGTTTCTCCAGGGGGTTCTGAGACTGCTTTTGCTGACAATCCTGGACATTCTAGAGAAAATTTAGATTTGATTTTTCTAGCACCTTCCTTTACTCCTCAAGAGGTCAATTTGAATCAGCCACCTCCAGTTCCTTTTCTTCAGTTAGTCAGTGGGGTGTGTGATGTTTTGGGTTTTTCCCCATTTGCTTTTCAGTCTACACCTTCCTTGATGTGGAAAGGTCTAGAGGTGAATATTTAGTTCTTCCTTCATCACCTGATATAGCTGTTTGTGCGGGGAGATTTACCTCTCAGTTACATGAAGAGATAGCTATGCCTTGTCAGCCACGCTTCTCGGAACAACATGCTTTAGTGTATCACCACAAGGGGTTGCATATTTAGACTCAAAGACTAGAACCACTTTTAGAAATGTGGGGCTCCAGAATGGAACCTGTGATCAACTGGAACATATCACAATTTTCTAGGATTTGTGTGACCCTCACTATGTTTCTGAGATATTTATTATCTCTCCAGATTTTGTCAGAAGCCTTTCAGCGATCACTACATCAATTTGATGAGGAGTTGGGACCTTTGTTGGCATCTAGCTTAGTACGATTGTTAGTTTCTGCTCTTTCTTTAGTTTCTTGGCTGGTATGTTGTTGGGTAGAGATGCCTTGTTGGAGGACATTCATCTATTTTATTGCTGGCCTCTGTGAGGTACATGAGGCTTCCCTTTCTTTGTCCCTTGATTCTTGTGGGTGTTCCAGAATCATGAGAATCACATATTGATGTCGCCTCTTTACATTCATCATTGTCGTTGTTGGCCTCTTGATTTTCTTCGCCCTCTACAGGGAGTCACAGCTCTACCACAATTTGAATGTCCTGAGCCCCGATATCAGCTCCTCGATCCACTGGTACCCAAAATAGATTCTGCCCATATCAAAGAGGCTCCTCTGCTCAGCCAAAACGTTGCCAGCAGTGGCAATGGCTACCCTATGCCGGTGAGGTTTGTGGGGGTTTGGCTATGACATTTTCTGGATGTATGGAATTCCTACCACAGATCCATGGGTACTACATGTTTTTGCATCAGGGATGGTCATTCAGTTCTCATCTCCACCATTATCCCCCCAACTTGTAGTGTTTCCACCAATGACATATCCTTGGATTTTGAACCTTTGTTCCAGGGCTATCAGAGAGTTGTTGGTCAAGGGGCAGTAGAAAGAATAAATTCCCAATTCTCCCGGGAATGTATTTCCATCTGTTTGTTGTGCCCAAGAAGACAGGAGATTGGCATCCAATCATCAATCTTTCTCATCTCAACCAATTCTTAGATCCTCCCAGGTTCACGATGGAGTTATTCCTCACCATACGTTGGCATTTTTCACCAAAACTTTGGATGACCAAGTTTGATCTTCACATTCCTATAGCAGAGTCATCCCACCACTATCTACATTTTGTGCACACGGATCAGGTACTGCAATTCAAGACTCTACCCTGCTATGACTATTACTCCTGTCCCTTTCTCCCGCTTCAAGGATGGTTATTTCTCTTTTGGGAATGTGGACATCACTTGAATCTTTCATTCCTTTGGGACGAGCACATATGAGATCACTTCAGTGGTCACTGCACGACCAATGGATCATGAACAGTGATCCACTGGATCATCCAGTCTTCTTATTCAAAATCATCATCTGAGATCTCTAGTGGTGGTTTCATAGGAACAATACTATGGTAGGTCTTCCACTACCGCCACCTCGGCCTGAGATCCATCTCTTCACAGATGCCCCTCTTCAGGGATGGGGTTTGTATATCAACTGTCTGGAATTCCAGGGTCTGTTGATGGACGACAAAACTTCCATATTAGTCTTTTAGAGCTTCTTGCTGTCTAAAGGGCAATGTCTTAAGGTCTGGAATTATTGAGGGAAACAATTGACGTGCTTCACTCCGACATTTACCATCAAGGGGCACTTGATCTCGGGATTTTTGTTTTTATCAGCCTACTAGTTTGCCATGTTCTAGGGGTGATGAATTTTATAGCAGATCATTTGTCTTGACCCAACCAGATTCTCCTGACCGAATGGATGCTACATCGTGAGAACACTCAACTACAGCCATTTTAATCCCCATTACCTCACCCTTGGGCATTGGCAATAGATGCATTCAGTCAAGACTGGATGAAATTACACCTCTATGCCTTCCCACTGATTCGTCTGTTACCCAGAGTTCTGGCTATGGTTTGGTCAACCCATTCTTGAGTGCTATTAGTAGTACTGGATTGGCTGGCTCGCCCATGGTTTCTGCTTCTTCAGTATCTTTAAGAGTGCCCACCTCTGTCACCTCCTCTTTGGCTGTTTCTGTTGAGGCAACCATGGTCTGACATCATACACCCAGTCATCCCAAAGCTCAAGCTTCATGCATGGAAGTTATGCGGTCCTTTGCAGGGCATCGGGGTTTAACTTCTAAGGTTGCCATGTATTTGATTCATTCTCTGCATAGTCCTATGATGAACATTTATCCAAGAAAATGACACACATATCAACAGTAGTGTCTCACCATAGCTTGTTTTTTGACCTGGCTGTTTGACAAAGGTTTAGTATCATGTACAGTTGCCTTGTATAATGTGGCTTTATCGACTACAATTAATTCTTTGAAAAGAGTGAAATTATTTGAGTTTGGAGTGCTATTTGGCTTTCTCAAGTTCTTTATCCCAAAAAGCCTTTTCACTTACCTAACTGGGATATTAAGGTGATATTATATGCTCTGTTTTGACATCTGTTTGAGCCCTTAGCCTCACGTACCATGTATCACTTTTCCCTTAAAGTTTATTTTTTTTTGCTTCCGGACTGTGGACATTGTCGGTCAGAGTTGTTTGTGCTGCATGTGCATGAGGCTCTGTCTTTCTACTTTCGTCCTTCTGTACCCAGACAAGTATGACTGCTTGGATCCCTATCACTTGTTATATCTAGTTAGGGCCAAAGTCTCTGGATGTTTTTTCACAGATGTCGGTAGGAGAGGCACCAGCCTACGTGGGAGCCTACTCATAATACCAGTTCAGATTTTACGCTCAGCTATCCGGTTGGGTTCATGTGGCCCTTCTTTTTGATCAATATTGGTTCTGTACATTGTTCATGGAAGAAGGTCCATTGTTTCCTCATAATTCCAAATGCAGAATGATTCCATCCTGGGTCCTTGGTTGAGCACAATTGTTCCACATCCCCACAGGGTTGGGGAGCAAGGATGAGTGTTCATGAG